GAGAGAGAGAGAGAGAGAGAGAGAGAGAGAGAGAGAGAGAGATCTAATTTAGACCCAGTTTGTGCTATCATAGGACCATTTAATCCTCAATAAACCATTTGTAAAGTGAAACCAGATGTCAAACAATGCACTAATTCTCTCAATATTTGCTTTTATTCTATCTTTTATTCAATATTTCACATGTGTTTTGAATTTCAGTTATTTTTAATTAAAAATATTTTTGTGTAATTTAAACGAATTGTGGTAAAAATTAGTAACACGTGAAATACAAGTTATAAATTACCCCCTAAATTGTACCCTAATTTGTGTGTAATAACTTTATTGTAGTTATCCCTCCAACTCCATCCCCCACCCCCTCTTCCCAATGCTTTTTATCAAAAAACACAAACTTTTTAAATTTATAATCCATTGTTTTTTCGGTCGTTTTTAATTCAATTCACGTTTTAATTGTATTTATCATTGATTTAGTGTTTGTTTTAATAGATTCTATAATTTTCAGTTTAATTACACGAAAATGTGGTCAAAATTAATGAGTAAATCATTGACTAAACTGACCACTACTGCCGACAACTCACCCCTCAATACCAGTCATAAGTATGTATTGTTTGTATTAACTGTTCGTATCATTCAATTAAAAGTGATTATATTAAGGATTAACAGCCAAACCGCTAACACATCAACCATTGGTCACATCCGTAGCGGGCAGTCATCGGCGGTGACTAAACCGGTGGCCAATGTGGTCGCCGGCAGTCACTTAGCGGCCAACACATGCCATATGAACACAACGTAAGCAATGATTGAAAACTATTGTTTGTTTCATAAGATATAATTGCAATTTAATTATACTATTAAAATACAGTCAAACAAATACTCGCAAACGTCTTCGACGGGAAGCGGTCACAGAAGTCGGTGGCCAGTCGTCTGCCGGTAGGAGTCGTAAAGTGGAGGCCGAATGGCGTCCAAAACGCCGCAAATACAACATCGATGACGACTCGTACGTGACTTTTAGCGCCCGATTTGGTTGCGGTTATTGTTTTTGAACGCCAGATATGTTTTACACCACAAACAGAGAGTCGGACAGCGATATTGAGATCGTGGCGATAGTGGACGCGCCCACCGCTCAGACCACAGGCGCCGCCACTGCCGGTCCTTCAGAACCCTCACCGCCACCAGTGCTGCCATCAGTACCGCCGCCATCGGCGGCAGCCGTAGACACAGCCATACAATCGCTGGCCGTCACACAGACGGCACCCAATGAGGGAAGACAACAGTACGTGGAGTCAGACACCACCAGTCCTACGATAACACCCGTGGCCTCCGATATGGACATGGATTCCGACGACAGGTATGCCTATCGTTACCGAATACCAAATCACTGGACACTAACTGTTCATCTATTGAAATAAGCGTTGAGTTGTTAGACCCGTCCGACGACGACCTCTACCCTGACGCCCATTACAGCGACAGTTTGCCCGCCGATGAGACCACTGAAGCGCTTCCCGACAGTGATTATTACGACAGGTTTGACTCATTGGTGGAACGGGTGTCCGGACTGTTGGGCCCCGACGTCAAGCCAGTGATCGGCGCTGCGGGCGATGTGTAAGACTTGATACTGAGATATGACAGTGTTTTTGCCATATTTACTGATTGTTATTGTATTTATTGACTCATTTATTAACAGTGATATAAAACCTGATCGCGTATTAAATGCCTGCTCAGCACCGGGTGATAGTTTGCCACCGATTGCCGCCCTACCAGTTGTCGAGCAGTCAAATATCGTTGTGTCCGTCACTACTGACCTAACACTGGCTGACGTTAAGCCACTGCTAACGGATCCGAGTTTACAAACATTGTCTGAACAGTCATTGGACACCACTTTAAGCACTCAAATCAAAAACACAGATAGTGTTCAACCAGTGATGACTGCAAACACTAATCACAAGTATTTTAAGTGTATTGTATTTATTGATTAAAATATAAATTAATGTTTAAATTTTTTCTATAGAAATAGTGATACAAATACTTATAGTGAAGAATCTATGTTAAAACATACGGTTGTGTCCGACAAACAGCAGCAGTTTGTCTGCGATCGGGCCGACTGTGGCCAGAGTTTTGGCCGCGAGACACAACTCTACGCCCATAAACGTGACGATCACACGAATCATGTCCAGCAAACACCCGCCAGCCTTATAGTGACCGTTCCGTTGGCCTATCGGTGCCAATACGAGCGGTGCGGCCAACGGTTCGCCAGTCAGTCGGCGCTCGACGACCACAATGAGGACAAACACTCCGGAGATTATCACAAATGCGATGTCGAGGACTGCGGACAAAGTGTTGTCACTGAATCGCTGCTAAATCATCACAAACTTAGCGATCATTTACTGCCAGAGCCGGACCTAAACCCACCTCTTAGTGACCAATCGGTGCCCAAAACGGTGTCAACGGTATATCTATACGAATGCGATTATAAGGAGTGCTTCGGAATGTTTGCCACCGAAGAGATAATGATGAAACATAAGAGGGCTGTCCATCAAAAGCACGACCAGTTGTTAATAGCGGCTCAAGAACTGTCTCGCCCTTCCGTTAATAACACTGAATCTCAAACACTTCCAGTGCTTTCCGACGAAGATAATGGATCCGCAGTCTCTGTGGTCAACACATTTAATGGGTATTTATTTTACTCGTTAATGTAATTTTAAAAAACTAATGTTATATTACAAAATAGTGATGTAAGCGCTGATGGCCTGCGTTTGGTTGACATACCTGTGCCCACACCGGCCACCGCCGAGAATAGTAGCCGATTATGGGATACGCTGTTACGAGTGGGCACTCATCCGCCGGCTATGACAGTAACCCTCAACCACCCGGACATGAGTGATGTTATTCCCGACACGATTCCAGCGCTCGACACCGTTTTGTCTGCCGGTGATAAGTCACCGACCGGTCCATTAGTGCCGCCGCCGTTACCGCCGCCCAGTCTATTGACAGTTGGTCTCGACGTACCGGTAGTGCCGGCACTCACTCATCATAGGTATGGTATTGTTTACCAAAAATATACTGTATTTTGACTCTCTTTCTCTCTCTCTCTCACTCACTCACACAGTAATAAGGATAGGGAAACGCCGGCGCCGTCGAAGACAATACTACCAGCCGTTCGGGCCATACAGTGGCCTACAGTCCGAAGACTATCATTACCTACAGTGAGAAGCGATACAAATGTGACAAATGCTCGCAAACCTATCTCTTGAAAGCTGAGCTAAACCGACACCAAAAGGACAAACACGGGGCCAGCGATAAGTCACCCACACGTCGGTTAATACGGCCGCCCAGTCCATCGCCGCCGCCGCCGACCATTGGTCTCAGCGAACCGATAGTGTCATCGATGGCAGTGCTCTCTGAACTGTCATCAATCTCTTCGGAAGACACTTATCATAGGTATGGTATTGTGTCGTGTAATTGATATTGTATTTTAATCTCTCTCTCTCTCTCTCTCTCTCTCTCTCTCTCCCTGTCCTCAAAGCGGCGCCCGTCGGGCGTTACGGAGTGTCCGGACCGGCGCTTCTGAGGCCAACAGATATGGGCGTCGAGTAGAGCCCGTTTGCTAAACCTTTGCGGGCAAACAT